CGGGATTTAGCAATTTCGGCATCAATGTCAATGATACCAGTCTTGGCCTTTTCCAAGGTTTTCTCCTCATGCTATACATAGAATAAGTTTTTTCAATAATGAGGGAAGCCGCTCGGTGCTTGAGTTCTTCTTTGAGTTGAGTAACTTCGGTGGAAAGACTTTCCCGCGCGGACCTAGCAGATTTAAGACTAACGTCGAGCTCACGGAAAGTTGAACCAAAGAGCCTATTACGCTCGATAGTTTTTATGTACTTCTCTTCTAGCTGGGCATGTTTCACCACCACAACAACAAGCTCTTCACTTTTGGAGTTTAAGGCTGCCTCCAAGTTAATCACTCTTTCAACGGAGGCAGCCTCACGGTCGGTTGTAGCAAGGACGACGTTCTGGATTTCCGCCCATTTAGCCTTGGCTTCATCAAATCTAACCCCCAGCGGCCCAATTTCTTGGCTAAGGGTTACCACTTCTTGCTCGCTTTGCTGCAAACGGGCCTCCAAAACAACGGCCTCAGTAGCCTTGGTTTCCAGTTCCGAGAGGTGGAGAACAGTCTTATCCCGTTCCGCCAAAAGCTTATCCCGTTCAGAAGTAAGTACTTCCTTCTCATGAATCAACCTTTGAAGGCCCTAGAAGTAAGAAAGTTGGTGTACATAACAAGAAGAGGTAAAACTTAGAGTACATTTGTTCAAAATTAGAAGAAATAACAGAAGAAGAAAGGAACATACCGCTGCGGCATTATGCATAGCATTGTTCAACAAACACTCCCTCGAGAGTATCTGAATCTTCTCCCAGTCTTTTTCTGAAGCCAAAGGCTTCAAATAGTTAGCAAGGTCCATCGGCCTCAAAAGCAAGTTACACCCGGTGGAGACCGAGAGGGTAACACTCCTCCTCCTTTGTTGATCTTCAGAAGGGGCAGCATAATTTTGCCCCAAAGTCCCATGAATTGGGGACTGTGGAGGAGGGATACCTTCTTCATGGTCAGGTGCGGCCGATGGAGATGATGTTGCTGGTAGAAGAGTGGATGAAGATGGAAGTGATGTAGCAGTTGTTGGTGTTGGAGAAGGTGGTGATGAAGTTGATGGGGTAGAAGAATGAGAAACAGCTACGTCAAAAGCAGCATTGGATGTTGGGTGCTCACCAACCGAAGACGGCAAGGACCCGATACTCTGCCTCACAGTATCGGGCACAACAATTGGGGCCCGAGAACGGGAGTTGGCATTATCTACCAAATCAAATTATCCCCGAAGTGCCGAGACATCATCCTCGGTTGGTATGACTGTCTCAATAGGTTGAGCATCCTGGTGAGATAATAAGGATCGTCTCCTTCTATGTATAGAATCTCCTTCATCACTAGCTTCTTCATCATCATCGATCATCACAGTGTCTATGACCGGCCCGGAAGGAGGACCAGTCATTGTCGCCACTAGAGATGACTCGGGGAAGCTACCTTTGCCCTCTTATTCTTTTCCCGGACCGCAAAGGAACGTCTTCTCTTTGGTTGCTTGTTCTCTGGCCGGGGACTCTGTGAAGAAACGTTTGCGCCCGAAGCAGGCCCGGAGACGCCTGTTCAAGTAAGTGCCTCCTGAAGAAGTCTCGCCGCATCAGCAGGGTCATCCAAAACATCCTCTTCGGGGACATCAACTGAGTCTGCAGGTAGACTTAATTTCATGAACAAGTCAGAAGAGTTCAACCAAGTTCTTCATATACAAAAAATTGGAAACAAGGTAATTTAAAGTTACCATGATTTTTGGCCTTCCACCCGTATTTAAGGGACAACTCTTTCCACAAACGCGTTTCGGGCATTGTGATATCCAAGATCTTCTGAACCCACCGGTCCAAGCCTTCTATCACCGGTGGGATCCATCGAGTCGCTGTAACAAACGAAGGTTGAAGGATCAATACGAGCATGAAAGAATATTTAGTAGGAAATTTTTTATGAAATGGAACTTACGAGAACGGTTCCAAGCAACCGGAAAGGATGAAGCCGTTGTTGGAATAATGTCACTGGTGGCAAATGCAACGAACCGTTCCATCCACCCACGGTCATTGTCGTCGTCCATGCTAGACAGTAAAGCATGGTGGCCACGCTTGCAAAGGTTTATCATTCTCCCCCGGAAGATTTTGGGGGAATAGAGATTCATCATATGAGCTAGGGTTAGCTCCTCTCCAATTTTTTGGCACAAACGCCGAAGGCAGGTGATCGTCCTCCACACTGAAGGACTTACCTGTGCCAAGCACACCTGGTAGGGAAGGCAAAACTCCGTAATAACGGAATCAAGCTCTCTACTCAAAGAAAATGCACCCAAAGTAAAGGGATACGTGTAAAAGCATGTAAAACCTTCCTTGGGAAGGGTTACTTGCTACGATAGATCGGGAGCGATGATCTCCAATTCATGGCAACGACAATCTTCCTTCACAATGGAAGGATGAATGGAAGAAGGGTACCTGCTAACAACCCATGTACCAGGGTTAGCAGAAGGGAAATGTTTCTCAAACTCCTTTGCGGTATTGAGTCTTTTTAGTATAATGGAGTCTACGGTTCGAGAGGCAAAGTCGTCAGTTTTGTTTTTGCCTTTCGAAGAACCAATACGTTTTGAGGAGGAAGCCATCGAAAAAGAGAAAGGATTTTTTGTTTGAAGAAGACGAAGAATCAGTAGGCGAAATGAGATGAAAGAAGTTGGAATGCAAGGGAAGAAGTTGATACGTATAAGTAAAAGTTTTGGCGGCTAATTCCTTGGCTAAGATTACCTCGGTAATCGGCAAAAGGCGTGCTAAATCATGGGAAGACACGTGTTCGGGGCATTAAATGCGGAGAGACAGCCGTCTAATCAACCGTCAGTGGCCTTCAAAAGGAATTATAGTAATTCCCTCCAAAAGAGTGTTTCTACCAACTTCCTGATAACACAAAGTTATGTCACCAGAAAGCAGGGAGACTATCTGTATAGGAAAAAATACGACATGACACGTGGCCGCTTAAAGGAAGGACACGTGGAGCACAAGATGGAGATGGGCACCGAACATAGCTATTTTACCTGTCACCGGAAGGAATAACGATCATAAAGGGAGTGTTAAATGCATTGTATCCGGTAATATTTAATACAGAATATTTTGCAACATTAAGGATGATGGCCCGTTACAAGAAATTTGGCATTTATATCTAACATTACATCTTCATCAATGGCCCTCATAATTGACATTAAAGAAGGGCATGATCCTAGGATCTCCTTTCCTAGATGTAGCTATAAATAGTGAGCTTTGTTATCATTGTAGGGACACGAATTTTCTGGCTAACTCACACTACATTCTATACAACATTTCAATACAATTTTACTCTCTCGCTTTTGATCTCATCATTGTTGTTTCCAGAAATCTTGTTCCCAGACTCATCAACTCTGTCATTTCACCTACATTCTAAGGCTAAGTATTTTATATTTCATCAGTTATTTTGTTATTTTTTGGATCAAATTAATTCACTTGTCTAGAAACCACGAACAAATTCAACTGTACCGTTTTTCGGGTAAACACTTATCTCTCGTGATTTTCACACACTTAATTAATTGGTAATTACTAAACCACACCCTTAAATGCAAACAGAGTGAAATATTATTACTATAATTTCACTCATGTTAGTGAAATTATTGTAATAATATTCATGAAGATTTTTGACCCAACCGATTGCATTTAATATAAAAATATAACCTTACCCCATTACAGGCAAATCTGGATTTCAAGTTTTCAACATATTGACATGTAACCAAATTCACTGAAATGACAAAGAATTTGAATTACCATATAGCTTCCTGAATTCTCATAAACAAGAAAAACAATTTTTTGATTATTTTTCTGCAATGCTGATTCTATAATAATATATGAAAAGAATTTTTATAACATTGATGTACGAATTTTTATAACAACGACAATGTACAACAACAACTACTACATCGATGAGTTGGGATTGACTATATGAATCCGCAATGAGCATGTTTCTCCGCAAGGAACGCATGACCAATATGTTTACAATATTTATAAATTATTAACTAGCCAAAATTTGAATTTTATTTTAATTTCACAGCTAAACAACTTATCAATCATTCATTACTTTAGTATTTCTTTTTACATTACTACTAATATAATTATATGATGTAAAATCATCCTTATTCTCTTACATAGAGCATTAATAGCACTTATTGTTTGCTTATTAGTGCACTTCCAGTCCATTTCAGACCTCTCCTGTCATTTCTACACAGGATGCTCGGCATTTAAAAAGAAAGATATCAAAAACTCTGTAGCATTAAATTACTACTACAAAATATCAAAGAAATTAAAGCTCGAATTGGAAAATGTACTTCATATGACATAGAATTTATTTTGTTCATATTTTAGAAAGGAGTTTCGTGTCAGCTTGCATGTACTGAATTCCTTTGGGCAATGATACATATCAACTGGAAATTCTCAGAACTTTCATATCTGATTTATCTTTAGCCTTTTAAGGATGTATTCAACGGCTGTGATCACATCTAGCGGTCAAGTTTTCACATTTTCTCAACTGAGCTCTGCACAAAGCTGCAAGGAGATTTGAACTGAAAACTAGAAATGGTAGCTAACTCCTAATTTGCAAGTAGCTGAAAATTAAATGTGATCAAGACGTCATAAGATTCTCCAACAAAGACCCCCAAGTTGTGGTCTATACAATGTTACAGCCTTTTTTTTTTATGACAATGATGTTCAGGCCAACTTTTGCACAGTTCCACTATTCCACTGCACCACCATTATGTATATTATGGGAGCNCGGGCTTTTGATGCGCTCGTGCAACATCGTCTCCTTGATTGTGGTGGGCAGCACACACCTCTAGCGTACTTTGGCATCTGCGCGCTCCGGACGCTGGCCTGGGAGCACTCCATTTACATCCACTTCATAGAATAATCTTCACCAAAAATTATCAGCACCAGAATCATTTAACTAATGCACCTAAATTCTCATGCAAATGAGTGAAGCTACAATCATGTTCACATGAATCTGCTGTAGCAAGTGTTTCTCTGGATGGACTTCAAGAGCAACAATCTTTCAAAGGAAAAAGATGCCATACATTAAAGAAAGCAAAAAACAGAACTGCTAATATTAACATTTCAGTATGCTAATATGTTCAAGATAAACACCATAAGTACACTAACAAGATCAAGAGTGTACACTGTATCTAAAGATTAAGTCAAGATTGTAAGGACTTCAGGCGACGGGTGGCAGACTCAATGCCATTGAGAGCTGCATTTTCGCGCTGATCAATTTCCCTAAGTACATCTTTAGCTGCCACCATTTGGGTATGAAGGTTTTGCACCTTAAGGCTTGCAATCACATGGTCTGCGACGCATTTTTGTTTCTTATGTTTCAGCGCCTCTTCATTCTGTTTAAGAACATCCACCCATTGTTTTAGCCTACCAATCAGTTCCATTGCCTCCAACATTTGCCTTTCAAAAGTTTCCTTATTTTTCATGACCATCACCATATCGTCTTGAATACGAAAGATCTCATCTTTATGACCCTTTGCACGACTTATAGCATCTTCATATCTTGTCTTCAGCTCTGGAAAAGATTGCATCTCTCTCTGTCTCTTTGTTGTGAGCAAATCAAAGTGATATGCAATGAAATCCTTGACATCCTTGTAGAAAGAAGTATAATCCGCGTCACGAATATCCAAGCTGAAGAAGGCATTATTGGCGCACTTAACCATGTCTTCAACATTTTTTATGCTTCCAGAGGTGAGTTGGAACACCAAAACAGACTTAACATGAGAGATTCATGTGGTCTTTACTTCTTCATGAATGTTGGAAGAATATTCATTCCAAAGACACGGATTTGGGGGTGGATTCAGCATTAATAATGGATTCAGATTTATCTTTGTCTCTCTTTGTTCTTCATCTGTAATCAGTAGAGGCGCATCTATGCTAGAGCCCAATGGTGGCACAGGAAGCAGTGAAACTGCTGGAGTTTCTTTCGTTGCCATCGATGGCGCTTCAACATCAACAACATCAAAATGATTTAGACTTTTATCTTTTAGATAACAACAACAAGATAATACCTAGTGTAATCATACATAGTGGGGTTTGGAAAGGGTAATGTGTACGGAGACCTTGTGTGTACGGAGACCTTGTCCCTACCTTGTGGAGATACAGAGGCTGTTTCTAATGGACTTTCGGCTCAGAAAAGCATAATTACAACAGTAATGAAAAGAAAAATGGTAAGAAACACCACTAAGAAGCCATGGAAGAAAAACATTAATAACAACAAGATACTAAGATGACCGAAAACTTTTATCCATAGGAATTAAAAAAATTAATATTAACTCCCCCACCCCACCCCCAACCAACAAGAAAAGAATAAACAAAACAAACTATGAACCAGAACAGAATGTAAACTAGTAGAAGTATTAGTCAATGAGGCAAAAGTAGGCAGTGGTGGAAGAGGAAGCTCACCTTCTGCTGAAACTGGTGTCTGTTTCCGAGGGCGACCTCGCCCTCCGTTAACAGAAAAAGTAGTTTCACCTTGGCACTGATCATGCATATTGCATTTCTCACTCTGATCAGAAATTGGTATTGAAATAGTAGCAGCAGCAGTAGTAATTGCAATTGCAGTACTTTTGAAACAGGGAGGATTAATACTTCTAGGTGTAGCAAAACCAGGAGGTAGTTCTGAATCAGAATTTTTCCCTATCATTGTTACTTCCCAAGATGCAAAGATTACTTAAAAGGGTTCTTTTTAAGCCAAAAAAAAGGACTGAAAATGAACTTTTTTTTCTTGGTAGAAAAGATGATGGAAATGACAAGAATGGTAAAATTTCTTTCACTGTTCTTTGTGCAAGAACACAAGAACAAGAACACTAGTAATAGCCAGGGAAGTAATTAAGTATGGGAAAAGGACAGGAAACAGACCAAGAAAAAAGAAGAGGTGCGATTACTTTTAAGTGTAGGACATTTGACTGCTCCTAATTCCTACCGCAGAAAAATTTAAAAATTTAAAATAAAAAGATAGCAAATGTAGCAAATATTGTTAAAATTTCTCAATTTCATTATATAATCTTATTATTATAGTTTCAGACGAGCTATGTACAAAAGAAAAAGAGAAAAAGGAAGATGTCAAATCTGCATTACAGTACACAGGATCAAAGATAGCACGAATTGGAAACGAAAAAGTTAAAACTCAGACGGTGGCAAATGATAAAACAGGAAATTATCAGAGTAATTTTATCTCTGATTTATCTTTAGCTTTGTGAGGGAGTAATGAGTCCGGAACCAAAGTGTGCATTTTTGGACTCAAGCGATCAAAATAGGTTAAAAAAAAAAAGACTGGACACCATAATATATGGGTGGAAAGTGGGCCGGTCCTGAGTCTAAACGGGCCAAGTGGGCCGGTCCCAAATTAAATGGCCCAAACGGTCTCGAGCTAAACGGTCTTTTTGTAGGGACCGGCCCGGGACCGGGACCGGGACCGTTTGGTCCCGGGCTAAACGGTCCCGGCCCGCGGGCTAAATGGGCTAAGTGGGCCCAACGAATTTAAAAAAAAAAATTAAATAGATATTAGAGACAAAAGGATGTTAAAAAAAATATCTAAATCAATGCTTTATAAATTTTATTATAGAATTGTGACCTAAGTTTTATTTAACATCCTAAATTTTAATATTCAATATTTAATATCGAATATAACTTATATATATATACACTATATATACATCTTATATCGAATATAACTTTT